TTTGCATTTCTATTCTGCTTTTCATCTCTCTCAAGCTGTTCTTTTATCTTTTTGACATTCCTCTTGGTCTCCAACTTTCTTTCCAGCTCTTGTTCCTCAATCTTTTGTACGTACAAGTCCAATGCAGGTCAAGAACTGCTTCTATGCCAGTTCACCTAATCTCTTTTGTCCTGTCATTCTTCCTAGCCCATCCATTGTCATATTTTATTGCCAACTTATTCATAAAATCCATCTTAGGCACTTACAATCAAAACCAATCAATCTCTGCCTGCTGTTTCGTCCATGTCTAATTTATGCTCTATACAACTCCATTGGTATCAATTCAGCATAATACACTCTGGAGTTTGGAAATAACAAGCAGTGTTCATATCCGTGTGATATTATAAAATATTCCACAAACGTTAAGCTGTATTTCAAAAGTGACAATCAGTTCCCTCAGCATGAATGGTAAGTGGTATATCCCCTTCCCTCTGGCCAATAGTTCAAAGTTAGGGATGTCTGCGGATAGCCTTAGTAGCTTTGCCATAAATAAAAAATAATAGTAATAAGTACGAAATATATATACATATATCCATGCACAAAAGAAATGCTTGTGGATGATGCGCATTAGAAGAGTTAGTTTAGCCCAGAACATTCGATTTAGCATAGATGAAAGCAGATAAGATGAGTGTTCAGCATAAAAAATCAGGCTGAACGTTTAAAACTTCATCAAAGCGTTTCAGATTTACCTAATGTTGCTGAAACGTATGAAATAAAGATCCCCAATCAATTTACTTATAAATCATGTATACTTTTCATTTAGCTAAACACCAAACACAACTAATAATCAGTAAATAAATAAATTATTCACTACTCAACTTTTCTCGTTCGCGGCTTTTTCTAATCATTTCCAATTGAGTTACGATAGTAAGGTTTTAGATGAAGTAACAAAAGTAAAAAAGTCGTGCTATAAATATTTAAGTTACTGGAGATCGATCACTTTTCGCAGTAAAAATGCATTTATTGTGGTAAAGAAATACGTGGATTTAAAGAATAAAATGTGATTTTGTATAACTATTTGTGGTTGGCTCAAGAAATTTGTTTGTTTGAAGTTAAGCGCAAAGCTACACAATGGGCTACCTGTGCTCTGCCCACCACGGGTATCGAAACCAGGTTTCTAGTGTTGTAAGTTCATAGACATGCCGCTGTGCCACTGGGGGGCAAGATCGGTAGGAATAATTTATTTAAATACTCATGGTGTAATGTACATCTCGGAATAATCTATGCATACAAAACATTATGTGATGCACAACAAACCGGAAGTGACCGTTGCTTGGACACGAAAAGAGTAAAATTATTTATGACATTAATATTACGCTACAATGGCAAATAAGCTGAAAAAAATCATAATGGGTTAACTAATTTTGAGGCGTACATATTATGTATATTTCTGAAAATATTTTACGAACTTCAGGGTGTTAGATATGTATCAGACAAGTATCTAAGTCATTAACAGTTATTAATCAGGCTCGAATCCCCAACATGTCAGTATGATATATATATTCACTTGGAATAAGGAGTTATTACTTACTTTAAGTTTAAAAACCAACACCATTAAACATTTTTCTAAAAGCAGAACAACTGTCGCATCAACTCTAAACAGCTACCAAGAAAGAAACAAGAGGGAATCCTCAATAGCCGCGGCACTTGAAATTATTTGAAGCAGGATTAGAGTAAATTAATCTTTGAGGCCTTTGCTTCACTTTTTATTAACTATATTTTTGTGCGCCAGCGATACCAAGCGTGAGGCACGCCTTTACCCGATTCGATCAGGAACTCTACAAGCCTATCCTCAAATTGAAATTCTTTTAGGCATGATTAGAATAAATTAATCTATGAGACCTTGGGCGTGATCAAATACATCAATCAAAAGAGTTTGACATCCTGAGTCAAAAACTGTAATTAGATCTCAAATCGGTCAAGATATGACGGAGCTATGAGCTAAAAGTTCGTACTTGACCAAAAAATAGACTCTGGGCCGTTCTATGAGTCGCTCATCCTCGGCTAAAACGTTAAGAAGGCAATCACTGTTGAAGGCACGCTAAACTTGTCATAATTAACCTTCTAAGGTCGTCAGATTTTATTGTTTCCGAATATATATCCCGTTATTTCTGCGATCTGAAAACATACTTTATGCTGCTGTAACATGTTTTTTTCAGAAACTCTTTATGCTTTGATACAATTCTATTACAGCTCTTGTCAGTAAATTATGCTTTGATACAATTCTATTACAGCTCTTGTCAGTAAATTATGCTTTGATACAATTCTATTACAGCTCTTGTCAGTAAATTATGCTTTGATACAATTCTATTACAGCTCTTGTCAGTAAATTATGCTTTGATACAATTCTATTACAGCTCTTGTCAGTAAATTATGCTTTGATACAATTCTATTACAGCTCTTGTCAGTAAATTAGCATCTCTGCAGTGCTAAGTATGCAATATTACAGTTTCTGGTTTAACTGTGTCGTACTGACACTGTTTATGTTTAAGTGCAAAGCTGCAGAATGAGCTATCTACAATCTGCCCACCCCAGGGATCAAACCGCGATATTTAGCGCTCTTAACCATCAAGCTTTCCGTTGAGCTACCATTACCACATAGTTTCTAAATTATGATAGCAAAGCTTACACCTTGTTTACTACATGTTATCCACATTATATGCAGCCCTCCATACGCTTTACTTCACACCAACAACCAGTCCGTATATAAGGAACACGAACAGCACCAGGTTTTAGGTGCTGTTTGTGCTTTCTTAAGTACAATCTTGCGTGACAGGTAAATTTTGTACATATTAGTACATTAATAAACAGTGTGGGTGTTGCAAGACATAAGCTTCTTTCACTAGTGGAATTGTAGAGTTTAACGACTACGAGACGATGTATGATCGACAAGACAGATGCTTATATTCTTCGGTTCATAAATAAACTAATGAATGATTTTGCCCTTTAGTTTTATTCACTTCGCGAAAATACAATTGTTTATTAAAACAGCCAGAAACTAGAGATTGGATACTTTGGGAAAAGCATCCACGTTTAATGTTAATTTTCAAGGAATAGAATATTATTATTATTATACATTGCACATGAAACCTAGTTTTTACTTCTTAATTTTTTTTCTAAAATGTTAATTATTTATGTTATTTGATGTGTAAAATTCGAATTCATTTTCGCCTAATGTTTAACCTAAATTTTTTATCGGTCACGCTCATGTACATGCTTATATATGTAGTTGTGGTACTCCCGGAAATATTGATTTTCCTTTCAGAATGACTGATACAGACAGAACATTGTGTGTGAGAATTAAGATGAATTTCTCTGGCTTTGACTAATGTAGAAACAGGAAAAAGACTGAGCACAAAGAAAAACAAAATGAAAGTAATAGTCATTCAAAAGGAAACACAATCAAAGTGATTAGTGCACCACACTTTTAGATGGATGTTTCGAAAGAGATTTGTTCATAAAGCACAGCATTATGAACCAAATTATATGGTTTTATCCCTCACATATGTTACGTGTGTCATTGTTATTCATGCCAATAGAAAAACGGGGAAAGTTATCCTCAGTGTAGTATCACCTGACTTACCTATGGAAAAGGTCATTGTCCATCACCTTCTTCATGGTGTGTTCCACCATATATACCCACAGTAATACTTCCCATGAGAAAGCACCAGTGACACCAGAGGGGTATGATCCAAAACAATAGATAGATGTTCTATAATTAGTGTTCTGATTAGAAACTTGTATGTTCGAAAATTTTTGGACATTCTTGGTGAACGTGGAATCTTCATCTGAATAAACTTAACTAAACAGAAAACACAAACTATGTACTACGTACTAAATAATAAGAAATTACAAACTTTTCACCACTTTGGAATAAGCACTCATTTTGTGCATAATGGTAAGCCATGATGATTTCTTTGTCAAATTCGAAGATGAAGGTTACTGTAACTTATGAAGACCAGATTTTGGAAAAGTAAACCGTAATTTACTTTGATAATACTTTGACGGTCTTAAAATACCCCAAGAAAGACTACACAAAGCCCATGCATGCTATGTTCATTAAACACTGGTATGTTTTCATAGTGACAATACTATCAAATCTCTCCTTCTAGTTATAGTGTTCCGTACTCTTAAGTCCTTCTTACTGGATACGTTAAACAAGTTAGAAACTTTTTTCATGAGATCCACAGGCTTATTGCTCAAAAAGTTTTTATTTTTCCAACATGTCAGCACAGGGTTTCTTCTTAAAGAAATTGACCCCAATGAGCCAACAGTGAGTTTACGGACTTATGACGCTAAAATACAGGGCTCGATTCTCCGCGATGGATATAATGTAGATAGCCTATTGTGTAGAGCTTTCTGCTAAAACCTAACAAACAAACATTTTGATCATTTCAGCAGTTCCACAGGTTTATTATACATACCTTGCTTTATTTTTAATAGGGAAACATTTTTTCCGTTTTCATCAGACCAAAAGGTTTATTTCTTAAAGACATTTTGATTGTCCAAAAGGTCCACATCTTTATTTCTTACATACTTTTTGATAATTTAACATGTCTCCATGTTTACTTCTATAATATTTTATTGTCTTCAAAATGTCCATGGGACCTGGTATAGCCTGGTGATTAACGTGCTCCACTAGCAACACGAATCTCATCACAGAACATACTCATTCTTTTAGACGTGGCCGTGCTATAATTTGACGGTCAATCCCGTCGTTCGATTAGAGATGCCCAAGAATTGGTGGTGGCTGATGTTGACTAGTTGCCTCCCCTCTAGCGCAAGTAGTCCTCAAGTTTTACACTAAATTCAACAAACAATCAAAAAGGTCCACAACTTCATTACTTAACAGAAGTTTTAATCATTTTCGTCAAATACATGGTCTTATATTTGACAGAAGTTTGATTTTTTTGACAGATCTACAGGTTTTTGTTTACAGAAATGATGATCATTCTCAACAGGTAAGAAGTTTCTCGCAGCTGAGAAAAGATTATGGAGAAATTGAAACGTTTTATTTGGACAATGGAGACACACGGATACGTCCGGTTAGCAAAGTCATTAAGAGCTCGAAATCAGTTGAATCGCTTGAGACTGTTCCTAGACTCCGGTCGACAAAAAGCGTTCGATTACTTCGCTATGACAGTGTTCCTAATCTAGATGGTGAGTTTTTAAAGTTTTTGTTTATATTGATATCTACAGTTTTAGAATCCAAACTAGACAGTGGAATAAATCATTTTTGTTCTAATATAATTATTATGCTACACCCCACATGTTAACATAAGTTTATTTTGAGTTAACTGGTGAAATGTTTGTTATTACTATTAATCCGTCAGGGGTTACAGTGCACTCAACAAATATATATATATATATATTACAAACAAATTTACGGTTTTCTTCATAATACAGCCGTTTTACGATTCTTGAATGATACTGCCACCAAATGTCAAACATAAAACTGACTTTGACCACATAGCTTTAATGGAAAACTCTTGACTACTCTTTAATCTTGCTCTCATTCGCACAGAAGACATATATACATGATGATAATACCTGCTGAATTTCCGTCTACGTAGTTATTGTATTGGTTTTAATTTATATACTAGACACTCTATTTCTTCTAATGGACGTAACATTCCTTTATACCAGGGGTCACCAAACTTTTTTCACAGCGGGCCAGATAACTGAGAGAATGACGAGAGCGGACCGCATAACCATTTTGTTCAATACAGTACAGTGAATACACAAAAAATAAAGACAACAAACATATTTATTTACCAAAAAGTTATCAAAGAAGGCGACGTTAGCAATAAGATAGTTATATCACACCCAGTGCGCACAAATCCGAATCTCACAAACTAAGCAGCAAAAAAGGTTAGTGAGATTTGTGAAACTGGCGTTTAGCTTTTGAGATATCATTAATATTTGCTTTGGAATTCCTGATTCCAACCAAGAGAATTGTTTTCAAATGTTCATCAGTCAACCTCGTTCGATGTGCTGACTTCACATACTTCATTTTTGAAAATGTTTGCTTACAGACATAAGTTGTTCCAAACACTGATGCCATACCAGAGGCAAATTTC